CTTTTGTGAGGCTGATACAGAAAACAGTACAACCAGCTCTCACACCTAAGGGCTGGAGGCCTAGCCACTGCACAGACCCAACTACAACTCTAGTGACAAACATTTTCATGTACAGATAATCAACCATTTCTCTTGAGGAACCCCAAGGTCCAAGATGTTGGGTCAGGACAGGATGTAACATCATTACTTTGTTCCCAACTGACCTCCCCCTAAGACCAGACAGGCCCTGGCATTGGCCTGGCTTACCAGCCCAGCCCTTTCCCTCCATCTCCACCACCACCACCATCCTTTTGGTGGATTTCTTCTTGAGGGCCATTATTGTCCATTCTGACACTCATTTAGAACCATCCCAGCACATCAGAAGGGTTACCATAACTTGAAACTCCAAAGGGAAAGAGCCAGGATTTCTGATTTACTAGGGAAATCCTTAGTCCCTTTGCAAGATTTATAAGAAGAGAATATCTGTTTTGGACATTTAAAACTATGCAGGGGTCTTTAAAAATACTCAGGTGGAAACTCTGGGTGTCAAGTTCAAGAGTAGTGGGTGAGCTTGAGATTTGGGAGTGAGGGCTGTATTAGTAGTTGAGTCACAAGTGAGGATGTGATTGCGGACATGAGGATGTGAAATGGAACCTGAGGGATAGTATGGTTTGAGAAGCAAGCCCACCAAGGAAGCTGAGAAGGAGCTCTTAGGGTAGTAGAAAGATACAGCCATGTCATAGACTCCAAAGGGAGAAAACATTTCAAAAAGGAATTTGTTCAACAGCGTCCAAGGTAACAGAGGTCAAAAAAGCCAAGGACTGAAGTCAGGTTATGAATTTCTCGGATAGATAAAACTTATTCAGGTCTGTTTTGGCATATTATCGATCAAGGTCGTATGATCGGATTACATTCCTTTTCAACAATTTGTGCTCGGAGTTGTATAATTAGACTCTTATCAGCACAGTACTGACAATCACCTGGTAAGTAGTAATTGGTATAATGAAGGTCATTTCATCACATCTGACTCTACTGATTTTATCAGAAGTGAAAAAGCCACTTTCCTCTTGAAATCAACAAAATCTAGTAACTACTATATTCTGTTTTGGCTTTGCCACTTGACAAGGGCACTGCCCTGTACAGCATGGGTTCTTCCGAGTTCAGTATATCTATTCACGTGTCAGGTAAGGACTCAATTCTCCCACACTTTTTCCTAGAATACTATGAAAACATTTTGAACAACATGATAGAATGTGGTCTGGTCTCCACTTAGCTTGGGCATATCTTTTATATATTTAGTCCACTTATTTTCTCTTTAGTCTGACATTATTAAAGTACTTCTACTTGGGGAGCCAATGTGATCATAAGCAGAAATATAAATACAAGTAATATCAAGCATCAGTACAATTTCAGAATATGCTTACATTAAAATTTCTAGGTTCACTGAACTGAAAACATAAAAATTCAAAATCCTCCTGGAGACCTGGTGACTCATGTTTCAGAAACACGGCCAGGGAGATTATGCCCAATCGGTGGGCACTCCTCCTTCTGTGCCTAGACTTTATTTTTGATTTCTGTCTTTAAGGGAAGAAGGCTTGAGTGGGAACCCATGAGAAGCAACAACAGCAGTAGGTGAATGACAATTACTGGTCTGTGATGATATCCATAGACTTTGTTTTGAATCATTTTTACTCCTTTCATTATTTTCATCTTTTCCTAAAAAATAAATGGGCATTTCTTTGATAATTAACTGTGGTATGTTAACTTTTTTTGTTTCATCCACAGCACCTAATAGAGTGACAGATTCCAATTGACAGTTGGTTAAGGCTTCTTTAGTTTAATACATACTCAAGCACTTAATATTATTTGGGGTGAAAAAAGGAAAAAGGCTTGCATAACAATTTTTATCACATAGAGATATGCAGCCGAGAGTAAATTAAGAAGGCCTGGCTCTCTCCATGTGTCAGAGCAGGGACGGCAAAGCCTGGATATATATTGGCTACTAATTATTTCTGCCCATAGACAGAGCATCTCTTAAATGCCTTTTCCTTTCTCTTGATTTTCATGAGAAATCATGGCCTTGGGGACAAGGATGTCATTAGAGGTATTTGCTGATATTACTTCCTCTTTCTGAGTACATGATAGGGTTTCACTTTTTCACATGGCCTTGTGGCTTGTTTGCACCAATCAAATGTGAACAGAAGTGGTATGTATCATTTCTAGGGGGAAATCTTTAAAAGCTGGTATCAGATTCACCATATTCTATTTTCTCTGCCTTGATGCCAGTGATGATATTAAGATGATGGCTCCATCAATCTGTGTCCATCAGTAAAAATGACAGGGAGTAAAGCTTTCCAGTGACCCAAGATGGGCAGGAAGATCGAGAGATAAACCTTTGCCATTTTAAGATACTGAGATTTGGGGCATGACCTTGACCTGCTTGATTTTACAGGGGCCAATCACCTGAAGTGGTCATTTTCCTCCTATCTCAACAAGAGGGTCTGAGCTGGTTAAAACAGAAAGTGGATGCGGCTAGGAAAAAAATAGATATTATTTTAGTGAAAATGAGACTATGCCGTGCTTTACAATTCTCAAAAGCATTTTTGCATAGATTATTTCATTTCTTCTCCCTTGTGATCTTGGGAAGTGGTCAGATCTCTACCTCTCCCTTCCAGACCAACACTCCTTGGTCAGTCGGCTGTTCTCACTGCCCATCCCATTTCTAATGTGCCCCTAATTTAGCACTTAGTACACTATACTACAATTTTAAAATATGATCTGTCTTCCTAGGCAACTGTGTCCTGTTCATTTTTGTATACCTTCTTTCCAACCAACATCCATGCTCCACTGCTTCATACTCATATCAAGTGCTTCATAAATGCTCATTTGAAGAAGCTGAGAAGTTAAGTGGCAAGTTGTAGGTTACAAGTAGCAATTAGGATTCAAATCTAAGACTTCCGACTCAATGATCTAGTGACTTAACTATCATTTGCTGAGCATGGAGGAAGAGACAGCAGCTCTGACATCTGGGTACTGTCCTTGATGTTGCTATGAGCTCATTGGGACCACATTGTGTGGACTAAAAACAATTTCACAGAATAACATCAGACAAAGGCATTCTATGACCATGATCAAGACAAAAACAAGACCACTCCACAGTCTTGTCTGAACACAGATCAGGAACATTGTTGAAACCACAAAAATGACCAAAAATGTCTACTACAAGCTGCTTCTTTATCAGTAATGGCTTTAACCTCCATCTAGTGTTCACTCCTTCTTCCTAAGAATTAAGATACCCAATCATAGAATTACCCCCACTTCCTGACAGCATCCAATACAGTGCCTGGCCTTGCTTTCTTGAACACTTCCCACAACTGCATCAACCCAAATCCAGTAACAAATTCTAACGCCTCTACTGAGATACCCCATTGTTCCTCATGTATGCATTCCTCCTCCTCACCAAAACTAATAAATCCAACTTCGGGTGTGTTCCTGGTGGGCCTGTTGGAAGGCATGTACAGTCCCTCCTTTGCTCCAGGGCTACGCTGTACACACACATGTTGAGGGTTTCATTAGAAACCCTCATTAGGTGTGGGATTGTGGCGTCCACTTGACAAAGAAATGGAGGTTCATACAGATGAAATAATTTGCCCCAGGTCACACTACCAGGAAGAGCCAGAGACCACATATCAGGCCCTTTACCAGTAGCACTCTCTTTCCTGCACCCTCCACGGGAGCTCCCTACCCTGTCCCCATCTTCTGCGTTCCTTAGGGCACCTGCCCTGTGACCCGGATGCTACGGGGCGCTGCATCCCAAATATGTTACTTTTGCAACTGATCTCCTGTGTGCTTCTGTGAAAAATGATATCCGGGCCCAGAAAGGTTTTCTCACTGCAGAGCCCTGGAGCGGGCCCACGGAGCTGCCCAGCAGGCAGCAGCCGGGAGCCTGCAACCCGGCAAAGTGGGATCACCCTAGGCCTCTGGGGGCGGGCTCGCGAGAGTGACGTCGAGCGGACCAATCCCCGCGAGGTCGCCGGCCACGGGGCCCAATGGCAGGAGAGCCTGGCAGGACAGTGACAGCAACGCCGGCGGCAACACCCGCACCCCAGCGGCCCCGCCTTCTCGGCGGGCGGCGGTGCTCGGCGGGCTGGGGAAGTGTCGGCCGAGCACCGGACGGGCCGCGGACCCACAGACCCACCCACCGACCCCGGGACAGACTGCCGACGGCGCAGGGAGTAGCCGCCCGTTGCGCCGGCGCCTCCCGCCGCTCCGTGGGACCGAGTCCGCAGGGCCGCCGAGGAGCCGAGCGAGGGCTGCGCAGCGAACTATCGCCGTCGTGACTCTGGACGCAGGAGTGGTTTGCTTTAAAATCAGAACTTGAGTTTCCCCGACAGGTGCCTTTGGTCGAATTCAACGGAAATTCCCCTCCCCGTCCCTGCGCGGCGGTGCAGACTCGGCCCCCGACCCAGACGGCGGCCAGTGTCCCCGGGAGCATTTGCTGCTGGGCAGGTGCCCAGGGAGCGCAGGGCACCCCCCCCAAAGAGAAAGCCCCCAGAGATTGAGGGCCCCGAAAATGATCGGACCCGCGCCTAGCCTGGCAGGAAGACTGTAACCGTGGGATGAGTTTAAACGAGAAAAAAAAAAAAATCCCTTTATGATTGGGAGCTGCTTTTTGAAGGCCTCCTTCCTGTTCTATTAACAAGCAGCAAAATAACAATAACAAACAATTGCGCAACTGTCCTGTTCTCAGAGGAACCTCACTGTTTCCCTTATGAAAACCGGTTGGCAGTATACAAAGTGGGGACTGTAGTGAGATTATTCCAAATGAAAATGGGTGACAACTTATAAAACTATTTTAAGGAGGCGTGAGTCCTAAAAGGTCGTAACTCTTAAGAATAGGAAGTACGACAGTTTTGGGTTTACTGCGTACCTATTCCAAAGTAAAAATTAATCTCTTAGGAAGTGCTTACTGCTTTCTGTTCCCTAGTTTGCCTGTTTACTCCACAAAATTCCTCTAACTTCCCCGTTCTTTCTCATAGAATTCAGCTACCTACCCAGGCAATATGAAGATTTTCTTTGTAGAACCTGCCATTTGCCTTAGTGCGTTTGCCATGACTTTGACTACCCCACTAACAACCCAATATGTGTATAGAAGAATATGGGAAGACACGGGCAACTACAGTTTTGTATCTGATAGCAATACTTCTGAGTGTGGAAAAAACAAAAGCAGCCCCATTTTTGCATTCCAGGAGGTAAGAAATTAAAATATCCCTAAAATGTAATAAAAGGGGAATGTATAATGGGGTTTTCAATGAAAGAGGGCCTTGCACTCATCATCCGTTGATCCCTCAATGGTCACCTTAAACTCTTAAATCCCAAGTCAAGAGCCTTTATTCAGTTCTCCTGTTTGAAGTTTCCTGACACCTCTAATCTCCTTCTTCTAAGAAAAACCCCCTTCTTCTTCTTCTGTAACACTGGCTCTTCTCTTTTCTGAGAAAATTTCAGCCTAATCTCATCTCCCCAGTGGCTGTGCCCTTCCTCCTTCCCACCCAAAAGCCTGAAGGTTTTGACCAAGGCCAGCTGGAATGAGTACTGGGTGACCTCAGTGGGGTCAAACAGGGTGCTTCTGCCTTTCCCTTGCTTGCTTCCTCCCATCCCCCCTTCTACGGCATGTACATGACCCAGTTTTCAGTGACCCCCAGAACGTAGCCCATCACTGAACACGATGGGCCCTGGGGTCCGTCGTGGGCTGATGGAGAAGCAGCGTGTCATTCCTCATTTGCTGTTCTCAGATCAGCTGTGACTCTCAAATGTTGAGGAGCCGCTGTGTGAGCTCACCTGCGGAGGAGAGCACTCACTTTGGTGCTGAGGGCACTGAAAATGTTTAGCCAGATATTACAGATTACTTCTGCCTCTCTAGCCTCCTCCCCCAATTTTTTGTTTAAAACAGGAGGTACATTGCCATTCTCCTGCTCCCTCAGTTTTTTTTTTTTTTTTTAATCAAAGTCTGCCAATGTCCAGATGCAAAGGAGATGCATTCAGATTTGGAATTTTTCCCCCCAGAAAGCCTTAAAAACAGACCACACTTATAAACGTTGACCTATTTCCCCAGAGGATATTTAGTGATGGCAAAAGAGTGGGACTGCCTCCCCAAAGGACAAGAAGAGTTTAAGGGAATTCGAATCACCTGCTGGCTGGCTCTAAGATTTTTCTCCTCAGTAGAAGAGAATTCAGGTGTGACTGGAAGATGAGTCTGAGGCCTGGAAGAAATGGCAAAGGGCCCAGAAGAAAGGCTCTAGCATTTCCGGAGGTGTTCCCCGAGGTGTCAGGTATAACCTTGCTAGGCTGAGGCCTGGCTGTTTGGCACAGCCTCTGCTGTTCCTCATTTTCTCATTTCCATGGGAGAAATTTTCTTGGAACTGATAATTACTGGGGACCCATACAGACATCAAGGTTCCGGCCTAAAGTGAGGTCATAAAAATAGAAGGGCCAAGGGTCTCACCTTGTGGTTTTGTCTCCTGATTTCAAGAATGTTTCCTTTTATATATATATATGTCATTCCCAGGGAGTAAAAAGGTTCAAAAGGCTCATCAGTTTCTAGATTGGATTCTGTGCTTTCCTTTACCAGACACCCGGGAGCAATGGGAGGGACAGAGGGGAAGAGGACTTGAATGTCTGGAAAAATCTGCTGCCCTTGCCCTTCTAGAGTAAAGGGAGATAGGCTGTGGTTCAGTCACCTTGGTGGCCTCTGTGACTGTGCAGGTGATGACTGTTGGCCCCCTCTGGCCTTACCTAGTTGCTGAGAGCCCCCCACTGCCCAGAGCAGTGGTCTCATTTTGAAGATTTTTGCTGAATGTTTGATTGTTGTTTCATTGTTTTATAATTAGATTAATATTCAAGAGGACATACTGCCCTAGATCCCTTCCCTTAAAGTGGTGCTCTAGAGCTACAGGTGCTTTTTCTCAGATTGGGGAGCCAGAAAGCACCTCTGTCTCCACCCATAACCGAGACAGAGACAGGTCAGGTGGGCCACTCACCTTTAGCTCCTTAGGAAGGAGGAACACTTTTGCTTCCCAGGAGGCACCACCATCACCTTCAGCACTTCCCTCTGGCCCCTTTTCTGGACGCTGTTCCTGCTCAGTATAAGAATATTCTCTTACCTGGGGCACCTGGGTGACTTAGTCGGTTAAGCATCTGCCTTGGGCTCAGGTCTTGGGATCGAGTCTCACATCAGGCTCCCTGCTTAGCGGGGAATCTGCTTCTCCCTCTCCCTCTGGCCCCCACTTGTGTTCTCTCTCTCTCTCTCGCTCTCAATAAATAAATAAAATCTTAAAAAAAGAAAGAATATCCTTTTACCTTTAAATCCAAGGACAAATGCTGCCTGTTTTATGAGCTTCCTTCTCAATTCCCAGCTCCGCTTGGTGGGTGCTGACCACTTGCTGACTAAAAGAAGTTTAGGAGTTTGAGAACTGTTCTTATAACCCTAAAAACAAAATTTCATAGCACAGGGTCGGTCCCTAATAAAATAAATAAATGATTTTTTTTTTCAGTTCAGGTTTTTCTTTGCCACTCCCCCAAAAGGCCAATTACTTATAAGAAAAGTGCATAACACAATAATGTATTGAACTTCTTACTGTTATACCATATTTATTTATCCTTCTATAAAACAAATACATACATGGACACATGTATTGGAATGCAAGATAATATGAATTTCAGGGTTCAGATATAAGAATAAACTGAGCTATTTGACTTACACTTAACATTTTGAAAGTCTATATGAATAAAAGTCTTATTTTTCAATCCACTGGGATTAATATATATCCATATAAATAAATATTGATCTAACCTATTTTTCAAATCTTTGAGTTTGACTATAAGGTACACCCACATACTTCTTTTGGGCAAGATTAGTCTCTAAAGGACGTCTTAACAAAATGGCAAGGCTGTGGGAAGGAAGGTCTTGGCTGAGGGAGAAGAGGTAGGGAATTCTAGGCATGTTTGTTGACTTTTGCAGAGGAAGGAATTTTTAAGCCCCTTGTCACCTCCTCCTTCCCACCCTTTCCTTCCCAGGTTAACTGACTGGTTTTGAGGTATTGGCTATTGTGGTCTGTTCTCCTCAAGTACTTTCAAGATAGGGACGCTGCTATTTGAGGGGACAAGTTGGCATTAACCAGATCATGAAGTTGTTCTTATTCAGTAATTTATGTATAAACCTTTTAAAAACTAACACAATCCCTTATTACCAGCAGATAGAGAATATTTTCTGCTCAATTGTAATTATACATTTTAGCCTATGAAATTGTGACTTTTTAAAAATTGATATTCCTTTCCTTAAGTTATATCTATCTCTACATTGTCATTCTGTTCAAACTTGTACAGGAAATAGCACTTTTTACTCTGATTTGTCCCATCTCCTTACCTAATATATAATTATAATTCTCCAGAGTTTAAAAGGTATAGGTTGCAGATGAGGAGAGTAGTTTGTGTAAAAGGCTGGGTTAGGAATGACAGTAGACAGAAGACAGGATGTGGGGGAGGGGTGGAAATGGGAGGAGGAATCTCAAACTGGAACATATTGTTGACAAGTTGATTAAAAGATAATTGTTTCATTTACTTCTTTATTCAGTAAATATTTACTTGATGGCTTTTATATCCCTAGAGATACAGAGATGTGCTCAGGAAGCCTGACATAGTAAAAATGAAAACAGCCGAAGTTGATTAAGCACTAATCCGTAATAGGATCTGTGCCTTATATTGACATCCTGACTTTAAATGCACCTCTCACAACAGCCTGCAAGATAGGGACTCTGGTTACCCCCTGTTGTCAGATGAAGCTATAGGGATAAATGATTTGGTGAGGATCACACACAGCTAGCAAGTTACAAGGCCCATTTTACTTGCTTATTCATCCATGCAACCAGTATCTAGGGCGCACCCTGTGAAGCACTGTTGTTGGAACTGGTGATACTGTGGTGAAGAAGACAGGGTTCCAGCCCTTCTGGAGCTTATGCTGTAGTAGAGAGGGCACACCTGAGCAGTTCAATGAAAGGAACCCATCCTGTCGAGGGGTGGCAAGTATCTAAAGAAAATACAGCCAGACAAGCTCAGAGCGCCAGGTGAGGATTAGTGGGGTTGCTTTGGATTGTGTGATGAGTCACAGAAGCCTTCTGAGGAGGTGGCATTTGAATTGAGGAAGTGAACTGCAGGAGGGAGGCAGAGGGAATAGCAAGTAAAAAGGCGAATGAGCACAGAGTGTTTGAGGAATGGCTTGCAACTGAGGGGAGTGAGGAAGTGGACATGAAATCAGAGAAGTCATGATGTCTGGCCACCCATGCCATGGCAAGGAATTCGGATTTATTCCAGCGTAAGGAAAGCCACTGGGGGATTTTCTTTTTAAGACTTTATTTATTTGAGAGAGAGAGCGCGAGAGATTGAGAAAACGAGTGGGGGGAGGGGCAGAGGGAGAAGCAGACTCCCCCCAGAGCAGGAAGCTTGATGGACAGACATGGGACTGATCCTAGGACTCTGGGATCATGACCTGAGCTGAAGGCAGGTAGATGCTTAACCGACTGAGCCACCCAGGCACCCGCCACTGAGGGATTTTGAGCAGAGGAGTGACATGAGCTGATTGTTTTTAAAGATCACTCTAACTGCTGTGTAAAGAACTGATTATAGTATGGGGCACCTGGGTGGCTCAGTTGGTTAAGCAACTGCCTTCAGCTCAGGTCATGATCCTGGAGTCCGGGGATCAAGTCCCACATCGGGCACCCTGCTCAGTGGGGAGTCTGCTTCTCCCTCTGACCCTCCCCCCTCTCATGCTCTCTCTCTCTCTCTCATTCTTTCTCTCTCAAATAAATAAATAAAATCTTTAAAAAAAAAAAAAGAACTGACTACATCTGAATCCAGATTGATCTGACTCCAGAGCTCTTAATCATTACACCAAAGAATGTAACTGGGGAATGATAATTGCCATATGAGAAGTTTCAATAGAAGGAAAGATTACATCTGTTTGGGCATTTCAGGGAAATCCAAGTGGGACTTGACTATGGACTGTGCCTGTAACATAGAGTACTGGGGGGAGGGGTGAGTGGAGATAATGCAGAAGAGGGGTTGGACCGCAACTCGGTGGCCTTACACAACAGACTAGGAGTGTGAGCTTTCTCTAGCAGGCCGTGGGCTGAGCAGGTGAGAGACATGCCGCTAGTGTGTTTTGGTAAGATGCTCCCACCATTAGCGTGTGTGATCTGCAAAGTGAGGGGGCTGGCATCATAGATTGCATTGAGGAGAGAGCCAGCTAGATGCCAGGGCAGTCCAGGTGAAAACTCTGAGCCCTGTCCTTCCAGGGGCAGCTCAGGGACTATAAAGAGGTAAAGGATGCGAGAAGCACTAGGTGTTGGTGGGCATGAATGAAGGAAAAGGCCAGAAACAAAGATGACTGAAGGTTTGAGTCTGAGGGACTAGAACATTTCCTAATAACCTGAAATTGCTTGCATTATTTGAATATATAAAAATAAACATAGGCTCTCTCTTTAAAAAAATTATTAATTTCAGAATTTGATATTTTTGTGGTTCATCAGTTGTTTTAGGGTCTTCCTAAATATTACATGAATCTATTTTTAAAAATGAGTTTAGTAATCCCTAGTATAAAAATGACACATACTCTTTATATAAAATTTGGAAAATACAGAGAGAAGTGGCAAACAGAAAATGCTTTTAAATCACCCAAAATTCTTCCCATCAAATAACTAGTGTAATGATTGTAACATCTTCCAGTCTGTGTGTGTACCTGGTGATTATGGTCCTCTGGGGAGTTGGGTTTATCTTACTCCTCAGTTCATGGCATGCTACCATCTTTAGTCAGTGCAAAGCTGCTCTTTGGGTTTTATCTTATTTTTTAGTAAGTAAAGAAAAAGATTAGAAGAAACTTATTTGTGGAGACACATGTGAACAAAGCAACCGAGTGCTTCCTAAATAAAGGTCTATCAGATATGACATTTACATGGGACACTCATTCCCCTTTAAGTAGACAGAAAGATCTATCACAGGAAAGGGTATTGCTCTTGCTTTACAACAGTGGGCATGATCTCAGTGCTAAACTGTTGAAAGAAGAAAGAAAAAGCATTATATGACCAGTCCCAGATGTCTTGGGGTCTGTGGATCTTCTATATACGACACACACACACCAATACACAATTGTCTGTTTATGAGTTCAAATCCCCATCACGGTACTTGCATATTATGCCTGAGCTTCAATTACTGTGTTGCCTCTTGATACTTGCTTTATGAACTGGATGAAGATTCAGGCTGTATCAAACCCATGCACCAGAGATTCCTTGTTGGTGACTTACTGGAAATGTAAAGAAAAGTATGCATCGTGATATTTCTATGCATGTTGTCTATATCTCTGTAAACATATTGTCTTCTTTTTGTCTCTTTGCAGGAAGTTCAGAAGAAAGTGTCTCTTTTCAATCTGCAGATGGACATAAGTGGGTTAATTCCCGGTCTGGTGTCTACATTCATACTTCTATCTCATAGTGATCATCAAGGACGAAAATTCCCTTTGATTTTGTCTTCTGTTGGTGCTCTTGCAATCAGTGTTTGGCTCTGTTTGCTTTCCTATTTTGCTTTTCCATTCCAGCTTTTGATTGCATCTACCTTCATCGGTGCACTTTGTGGCAATTACACAACATTTTTAGGAGCCTGTTTTGCCTACATAGTTGATCAATGTACAGAACAGAAACAAAGAACAATTCGAATAGCTATAATCGACTTCATACTTGGACTTGTCACTGTATCAACAGGACTGTCTTCTGGCTATTTTATCAGAGAATTAGGTTTTGTGTGGTCCTTTTTAATTATTGCTATGGCTCATACTGTTAATTTGATTTATATTTCATTTTTTCTTGGTGATTCAGTGAAAGAATCTTCATCTCAGAATGTTTCCATGTCATGTAGTGAAGGCTTTAAAAACCTATTTTACCGAACTTCCATGCTTTTTAAAAATGCTTCTGGTAAGCGACGGTATTATCTCTGTTTGTTACTTTTTACAATGATCACTTACTTTTTTGTGATAATTGGCGTTTCCCCCATCTTTATCCTTTATGAATTGGATTCACCACTCTGCTGGAATGAAGTTTTTATAGGTTATGGATCAGCTCTGGGTAGCATCACTTTTTTTAGTAGTTTCCTGGGAATATGGCTTTTTTCTTACTGTATGGAAGACATTCATATGGCCTTCATTGGAATCTCTACCACCATGGCAGGAATGGTTATGACTGCTTTTGCCAAAACAACATTGATGATGTTTTTAGGTAAGTTACAAATGTAGCCTTAGAACTAACCATGTATTTATGTTTATATCAAATGAATTTAGTCTGTTGGGTGATAAACTTTTAATATATAATTCTCTATTTAATGCATTCTAGTTCAAGTAAGGCACTTTGTTAAAAGCCAGTTTGCCAGAAACTGAAAGCCAATTTGCTTTAAAAAAAAGCAATTCACTGAATAACCACAATTTTCCAAATTTGCATACTTGACAAAAAATTGTTTTGAGGAACATTCTTCTTGTGAGTCAGTTCTTCAAAACAGCTTTTGCCAACTTGCATATTTCTTAAATGCTGAAGGTTGGGGCACTGAGCACTGGGGTGGCTCAGACGGTTGAGCATCCAACTCCTGGTTTTGGCTTAGGTCATGATCTCAGGGTCATGAGATGGAGCCCCACTCAGGCTCCCTGCTCAGCAGCGAGTCTGCTTGAGATTCTCTCTTTGCCTCTCCCTCTGCCCCATAAATATGCTGCTAAGAAGGCTACTTTCCATAAAAATTTTAAAGAGCATTATATAAAGTACACTCAAAAGATTTATAAAATTCATATTTATTGAATATATTCAAAAAGAAAATTCTTTAAGATAGCCTTTTGCAAATTGGTCATTTCATTAATTGGCTTTTGATAAATCACTTTTTGCCAAACTAGACTGCGTCCTTAACTACCTACCCCATAAGTGGTTTCAGTAGGGCTTGAGTGAAATGCTGCCTTTGAAAGAGCTAAGGGATCTGTAAAGTGGGACCTTGAGAAAGGTCTAATTTCATCTTTTTTACAAAGGCACTGTCAACCTCTTGCTCCCTTGCAGGGAAGCAGGATGACCAAATAGAATTGGGCTTAATGTCCATCTATAGTACCAGGTGATCTTGGGCAAGTTACTTAACTACTCTGGGCCCTCATTTACTCACCTGTAAAATGGGCACAGTAGCACCGAATTCACTGGGTTATAATGAATATTAGAAGAAATCACTGTAAAGCACTTAGCACAATGCCTCGTATTCAGTAAATGTCAGTTCTCCCTGTCTCCCTTAGAGTTGCCAAGGCCAAGTAAGTTAATATATGTGAAATCACACTGAAAACTTTAGAGTCATCTGCAAAAATAATATATTGCTATTTTATCATATATAACTAGAAATGCTATTAGGGGTCCATAATTTAAGAGGAGAGGCAATCTGTGTTCATGAAATTATTCCACACAAAGATGAAGAAGCAGAAAGATAAAGAACCAATTTATCAATACGTGCATCAATATGATAAAAGAATGCAGACACTAAGAATGCCAAGTCTGAAAAAGCAAAAACAGAAAACAAATGTGGAAGCTAAGTTACACCTTGCTAAATGAGAGGTTTCTACAATCATCAGGGAAATAGCAGATCAGTCCCAATTGGCAGAATATGTAGATCTAGACCTCAAACCTCCCTGAAATCTTGTTCTTAGCACTGGAATAAGAGGGCAAACGAACCTTGAGCTGGCCTGTCTGCAGTGTATCTGTGTATTCATTAAACAGAAGTCTATAATTAATTACTTCAGTCCATAGGTGCAGTGAGTTAGGATGCTTAGAGAGAAAACATTTCACATCAAAAACTGACCATTGGTTTTCTGATTTAGCCCATGATTTCCCACCATTTCTCTTACAGTCAGGCTGCCGTTCCTTTTCACTATTGTGCCACTCTCTGTTCTACGCTCCATGGTATCCAAAGTGGTTCGTTCTACTGAACAAGGTGAGTTTAATTTGCTGAAGGGAAATAATGAATCTACAATCTGTACCAACTCAAATCTATGTACGACCAATGTTTGATTCTTCAGAATATTCTACAACCCTTTTTATGCTCAGAACTCCTTTTGAATTAAGTGGTAAGTTCTGTGTTCAGAAGAGGCTTATATTCAGGCAGGGGTGCCCCTGCCCAGGGTCTCCTGCTTTAGAAGCTTGCTCTGGCCAGACCCCGCCCCAAGAGGAGAGCAGTGCTCAGAGCTAGGCAGATGCCCACTGGGAGCCCACCACACCTACCCCTTCTAGACTACACTCTGGTTACCTGGACCCCCATAATTCCCCACCAGACAGCTCTGGGTTCACATCCATGAGTGCCTGGATGGTACTGCTCCTCAGACTCTTTAGCCTGAGGGTGGACTGTGACCCCGGTGTGCTCCCCTCTAGATCAAAGGGGTAGCCAAGCCATGACTCTTTATAGGAGATCTGGCCCAACCTTAGAATTGCAGAGTGGGGTGTCTACAGCCATGTGTAAATGATCCTTTCTGAGCAGGATGGAGCAAGAGGTAGAAAATAACATGGGTGGGCTACAGCTGGGGACTGAGGGCCAAGGGCTAGCTAGCTCTGCCAGTGCTGTCATTTTCCTACACAGAACTCTAAAAAGTCTGAGAATTCTAAGTTTGTTCCTGACCCTCCAAATCATTGTGACAGTATATAATATGGTATATTTCTCAGAGAGGGGAGACAGAATATATCTTAGTTAAGTTTGTTTATTCGAACTGTAACTTTTAAATACTTAGAATATAATATATAGGCCTCTCATTGTATTCTTACACTGGACCCCACAAATGTTAGAGCTAGGCCTGAATTAGAGTCCTAGCATAAACAGGATCCCACTCAGCTGGTTTAGTAGAAGGGCAGCAGTATGGGGGGTGGGCATTGGTGAAGGCACCCACAGAAGATGGCCCAATAAGAAGGGAGCAGAGACAGAACACCACAACCTTTCTCTCTACCTTTATCCCATTGACCAAGCACAACAGAAAGTCAGGCTAGCAAGGAAATCCAAGTCATATGATCCAAAGGGTCAGCTCCCCAAGCACAGAGCAGGATACAGATCAAACAGTTTGAAAGGGAAGGCAAAGAATGACCAATACAGAAGGACAAAAAATTAAATTTCTGGTTGGAACTAGTTACTAGTTAGATATTAGGCATATGGGGTTGTCCTCCTTCCTCCCTGTATATGAATACTGTTAGACTTTGAAGCTTTCTTTTGTTTCATGTCTTAGCCCGGTGCAAATATTCCTATTAATTATTGATGGATCATTCATAATTATGCTATTGTATTTATGGCAGTTTAGTCAACACTGGGCAAGACTGCATAATTCACTACATTTAAAATATATTTCTTGGTTCTCTTCTACTCATAAGATGCAGCTGTCTATGCACACAGCTGTTTATAGATTATATAATGATGATTAACTGGAAAACCACTTTGGGATATAAAAATGTGTAACTATAGTATGTAAAATCCTACCTGCTCCCTTCGGTTATGCAATGGTTTCTTAGATATGACACCAAAAGCATAACAAAAGAAGAAATAGATAAATTAGAACTTATCCAAATTAAAAACTTTTGTGCTTCAAAGGACACCATCAAGAGAGTGAAAAGACAACCGATAGAATGTGAGAATACATTTGTAAATCAAATGTATAATAAGGAACTTGGGAGGTGGGTGGGGGATGGAGGAAATAAGTGGAGGGCATTAAGAATACACTTAGCGCGATGAGCACTGACTAATATATGGAAGTGCTGAATCACTACATTGTATACCTGAAACTAATATAAGACTGTATGTTAACTACACTGGAATTAAAAAAAAAAAAACCCTCAACAACAAAAAGAAAATCCAATTATTTGGCAAAGATTTGAATAGACTTTTCTCCAAAAAGGTGTACAGATGGCCAATAAGCACATGAAGAAATGTTCAACATCATTAGCCATCAGGGAAATGCAAATCAAAACCACAGTGAGACCCACTAGGATGGCTAAAATGAAAAAAGGCAGACCAAGATGTGAAGATATTGGAACCCTCTTACATTGCTGGCCGAACACAAAATGATGCACCCATTTTGCAAAGTTTGGTAGCTCCTCAGAAAGTTAAATAGAGTTATCTTATGACTCAGCAATTCCAATCCTAGAAATAGAATGGAATTGAAATCCCAATAGAAATGAAAACATATACCCACACAGAATCTTATATACAAATGTTCATAGCAGCATTATGTATAATAGCCAAAAAGTATAAAAAAATGGAAATGGCCATGAACTGGCGAACAGATAGACACAATGTATATCTGCCCAATGGAATATTATTTGGCAATAAAAATTAAGTCCTGATGGTACTTGCTACACTGTGGGGGAACCTTGAAAGCATGACGCTAAATGAAAAAAGCCAGACACAAAAGGCCACATATTATCATATAAATATGGTTCCATCTAGATGACATGTTCAGAAAAGGCAAACCCATAGAGATAGAAATCAGAGAAGTGCTGTCCAGGGCTGGGGAGATAGGGGAATGGATACAGTTTCTTCTGGGGTGATGGCTGCACAATTCTGTGAACTGTGCAGTTTAAAGGGGTGGGTTTTAAGGTATGTGAATTATATCTCAAAGCTGTTCAGCGAAAATAGAAAAATCTGCCTGCTTTAACTTGGAACATAGACTTGTCGGGGTGTATAGTTTGTTTCTGTTTATATTTGGTTTAGTTTATTTATAAAGGCTTTTTAAAAGTCATTTCATACTGTTAAATATAGTGACATTTCAAAATGTTTTGTTTACTTTTTGGCATTCCATATTCTGAATTATAACTTCGTGAATCGTGATTCCATTGTTCCAGGATAGGATAATTACTTTGTTTTTAACTGCAAACTACAAAATCCCTTTGGTGATGTCAGAATTTCCATATTAAATATATTCCCATCCTTCATTACTTTTTAAAAATGGGATATTTTTGTGAAAATGTTATGCACTTTAAGGTAATCAGAGAAGGAAAACACTGCATAATGTCTCACTAGCCTCTCACTATCCCTATTATCTTGAATAACAGAGAGAACACTAGATTTGGGTAATTTTTTTGGAATTTCTGTGCTCCATACAGCTGTGACGCTCACAGCTAGAGCCACCCCGGATGACCTCTTACCTGATCACTACCTGCATACTTCTTGTGATTACAAATTGGAACAGTGTAAAAACAGACTCGACTTTTAAGGTCTATTGAATTAAAAAAAAGTATAGGAAGTAAATTAACCTGCACTTATTATTTATTCCAGTTTATCTCTGGTAACTATTAAACAAGTTGAACTGCTTGGGGAAGTTACAAGCGAACCCTACTTTGTAATAGTATGGCTGTTTATACCAGACAGACATACCGCCTGAACCAACTTGCCATCAAGAATGGATTTAAGCCATTGCATAAAAGGACTAGAACAATCCAGTCTGTCTTCCATGGCACTGTGCCTAGCTGTGGCAAGGGATCAGAAATATAAGAAAATAATTAGTTAGTGAGTACTTCCAATTAAACTGACTTCATGTCTTATCATAAAACATGGAAGCAGTAGGTCTTTATGCTACTTGCTGATTGATAACTGAGCTCTTGAATTAAGCTTTTATTCATTCATTTGACAAATAAGGATTAAACATATCTACCATGTGCCAGGACAGATAGGCCCTGGGACACAGCAGTAAACAAAGTAGATGTGCACTTGACATGAACAGAGCTTTTGTTTTAGTTAAAAGAAGACATATATGTGAAAATACAATACTCTTCAGAGCTATGTTTATGTTTTATGAATATGTGACCTGTCATTGAGGAAGAATGAGAAGCAACGTATGAGAATATATATACTAGGGCAAAAAGCTTAAATAGATAAAAATCAACACACAACACAGTCTACTAAACCAAGACCATGGGAAAAATTAGAACATAGACATGTAAACCACAATCCAGTTATGAAAGGTGACCCTCAAGCTTGCCTTTTCCTTCTTCTCAGTCCAATCAAATACAATTATTTACATGATTTGTATTGTTTTAAGACAAATACATTACCATTTACCATGGAAAGGTAAACTTGGCAAAGTAAGGAAGAAGCACCATGGCTTAATGCGAGAGTCTGCAGAAGCTCCACAGGAATGTATACTGGGGACGTCATGGGAAGTGGAAAACTGTCACAGAACTTTGGTGATGCAAAATTTGACGAAGAGGAAGAAAAGTACATCCTGTCTAGAGGTTTAACTGCTTGGTCAATGTGGTCTTGGATTCCAGACAAAACTAAAAATCAGTAGACTTAATGAGCCCTTTTCTCTGATTACAAGCTTGGACTAGCCATGTAGCCACTTTGTGTTTCTCAAACAATTCTCCAGGGCCTACTGCCCTCTCCCAAACGTGGTGTGGAGCAAGTGTAGCAGACGGCAGTGGGATCCCCGCTCACTCAGCCTTGCGAGCCACCTCACAGTGGAGGCAGTTTCAAGCAGGGGAGGCAGAAAAGAATCACTCAACATCAAATCATGGCATAACGAGAGCACAGAGAGTTACTTGAAGAGTCACACCGAGGAAGCGTATGGACTGAATTTGTTCACTTTGAAGGGAGGGCTCAGATTCAAACTGCGGATCATCTCTCTTTGTCTGCGGCTGTCACTTTTGCCAGAGCTGAGAAGCAGATGAAAAGGATTGCTTTAACTTTCAAAAGGCCCCCAGGGTAGGACCTTTGCTGGAGGGAGCCACCGGGGCATACACATATGGGGGTGTCACAGATGTCCCCAGCTTAGGGACCGAGTGGGAGATAACGACAGTGGTAGTTGTGGCTATGTGTGCGGCTGTGCAGGGAGAGGAGACTGTGGATTTCAAATGCGTCCACTGGTATACTCTGGTTTCTCTTCAGATCATATAAATCTTTCGCCTTTTCAAATGTGTCTGCTGCTGGAGCCTCTTACCTTTGCCCGACTGACATCCAAACTATTGTGTTTTCAGCTTCCCCCCCCATCAGGTCAGGGAGAACTGGTGACCTCAGTTTCTTCACCTGTAAAATGGGTTACTGGCTTCTCAGGGATTTAGAGGCAGTAGCTTCTGTTCACCAAGGAGTGCCCCACGTTTGCTTTTTTCAGCGAGGAACAATTTTCTCCCTTCGTTTTGTCTATTGTTTTGTAACTCAGCCCTTTCTTTTTCTCCCTGCACACCCCGACCCCAAACAGGCACCTTGTTTGCTTGCATTGCTTTCTTGGAAACACTTGGCGGAGTTGCTGCAGTTTCTACTTTTAATGGAATTTATTCAGTGACCGTTGCTTGGTACCCAGGCTTCACCTTTCTGCTGTCTGCTGTTCTATTACTAATTCCAGCTGTCAGTCTATGGTATGTAATTATTTTTAATCATTTTATCAAAGGTTAGCTGGATTAAATGAATTCCCTAACCTCACCGGTAAAATTACATAGACTGCTAAAGTTGTTGAAAAAATTCAACTAACTTTTTTTTTTTAATTTATTCTTGTTTTAGAGAGCGAGTGGGTGGGGAGGGGCAGAGGGAAAGAGAATCTTAAGCAGGCTCCGTGCTCAGCATGGAGCTGGATGTGGGGCTCGATCTCACAACCCTGAGATCATGACCTGAGCCGGAATCAAGAGTTGGATGCTTAACCGACTGAGCCAGCCAGGCACTCCTCAACTGAGTAACTTTTGAAGATCTAATTGGCTCTAACTAATTGATTCATGAATTAGGCAGCATCCCATCTAACAAGTAGAGGGGAGCTCTGAGGAGCTGTGCTGAGTGGAAGGTTTTCACAGAATGGAGGGTGGATCAAGACGTTATTGGCAAAAGAGAAGAAATAATTATTTCAGGCAAAGTCACCTTCCCTTGAGAAGGGCAGGGTCTTATCAGGTAGATGATCCCATCTTCCTTTGCGGGATGGAGAGGGCCCATGGGGCAGGCTCATTGGTGCTGATCAGAAAACTCTTGCCTGACTAGTGAAGATTCCGTCTCTGGGGAAGGCTGGAACTGCAGTTAAGTTACATATTCAGTCCAGGTTTGATAACTTGGCCTACCTGATGCCATTTTGGGCCTGTGGTTTTCTTTTTAACAAAGTTTTGCCTCAGAATGTAGTTTTCTCAATAAATTTTAAGATTTTATTTATTTGACACACACACAGAGAGAGAGAGAGCATGCACAAGCAGGAGGAGCAGCAGAGGGAGAGAGAGAGAAGCAGGCTCTCTGCTGAGCAGGGCGCCCCATGCAGGGCTCAATCCCAGGACCCTGGGATCATGACCCAAGTCAAAAGCAGATGCTCAACCAACTGAGCCACTCAGGTACCCCTCTCAATAAATTTTAGACATGAAGACATCTATTGATAATGTTGGAAACCTAAGAAGAAAGAGACAATGACAAGGCTGACCAGAACTAGGAGAAAGAAAGATTGGGTCAGACTCTGAATAGCTACCCCCTGTCTCTTTAAATATGAACAATTGATTAAACTAGCATCCAAGAATAGATAGATAGATAGATAAAAACTATGATTTCCTAGAGTATAATATCCTCTGAGGGTCAAAGATTAAAAAAAGAAGATAGACTTTAATATGGAGTCTTGGGTTGATGACAAGAGCAAATAGTGAACACTGAATATCAGGAATGTTCTTTCCAGAGAGTTGGCTTATTTAATGATTCCTGTTTTAAAGGTAAATACCCAAATAAACACAAAGTACTAAATTCTATTTCTGAATAGTACATAGAATAAAAAGACCAGAGTCAGGCATGTAAGAGAAATATTTATTTCTCCCTTTTCCTTTTGGTTAATGAAAAGTATGATCTAACTAGGTGTTTGCTAAAATGCCCAGGCAAACAGGGTCAACACATTCTGTGGGGCCAGCACACTGAGCTGAGAGTGCACTGCCCTTCTTTGCTGGGCTTTGCCCATTCCACATGGCTAAGAGCATAGTGCAGTGATGGGGATCAGTAGAAGGTGGGGCACAAAAGGCATCTCTGCTTTCTCCTGAGCACTGGGCTAGGGTGGGGTGAGTAAGGGTGAAAAGTACCGATGTACCCAGGCTTTACGCATTCTGCCAAGACTGTGAACTCCTTAAAGGACTGCCCTACATTTATTCATAGTAGGACCTCAGTACATATTGTCTCTACTTAATTTTGATACCTAGATCTATGTAAGAGTATAACAGTATTTGCAGTTCCTCTGTAATATTGATGAAAAGTTATCTTTACTAGATAGCTTTTTAAAAAGAGACCATTCACCTATTGAACTGGCAAAATTAAAAATATACGTTGTGCTAATGAGTACACGATGAGACAATCAATCTTATACGTTGCTGATAGTACTATTATTTGGCACTATCATTTTTGGAAGGCAATTCATAAACATGTATCAAAAGCTTTTTTAAGAAGTTCATAGTATTTGACCCAGTGATTCCTTTTAGAAACATATCCTAAGGGAATGGTCAGTAATGTAAAAAATTTATATACAGTTGACCCTTGAATAACACAGGTCTGAACTGCATGGATTCACTTAACATGCACATTTTTTTCAATATATACAGTACTATAATGGATTTTCTCTTATGATTTTAATAACATTTCTCTAGTTTTATTATAAAAATACAGCATTATATATATATAAAACATACCACATACATGTTAATAGACTGTTTTATATTACTGGTAAAGCTCAGGTCAATAGTAGGCTATTAGTAGTTAAGTTTTTAGGGAGTCAACAGTGATATGAACATTTCCAACTCCATGGATGCCCCAACCCCTGCATTGTGCAAGGGTCCACTGGTATAAAGATGTTCATTAAGACAAAAAAATTTTTTTAAATGACCAAAATGTCCAACAAGAGAATGATTAAATAAATGATGGTGCATCCATAGCATGAAACATAATGTTAATAAGAACTGGGGAAGGAGGCGCCTGAGTGGCTCAGTCGTTAAGTGTCTGCCTTCGGCTCGGGTCACGATCCCAGGGTCGTGGGATCGAGCCCCGCATCAGGCTCCCTGCTCCGTGTGAAGCCCGCTTCTCCCTCTCCCACTCCCCCTGCTTGTGTTCCCTCTCTTGCTGTCTCTGTCAAATAAATAAATAAAATCTTAAAAAAAAAAATTGGGGAGTAGATTAATGGGTAATTTTAATTTTATTCTTCATATATTTATATATACCTATCATGAACACATATGCAGCTAGCTAAAAGATAGTTATCCTTTTAATAATGTTTCTAATGTAAATATAGATGGTCTTCTGAGATTTTTTTTTAACCCTATACTGTTCAATATTTTAAAAAATAAAATTACATGCAGGGTGCCTGGGTGGTTCAGTCAGTTGGGTGTCTGCCTTTGGCTCAGGTCATGATTTCAGGGTCCTGGGATCAAGCCCTGCCTCAGGCTCCCTGCCCCACGGGGAGTCTCCTTGTCCCTCTGCCCCTCCTGCCCCCTGCTTGTGTTCCCTCTCGCTCATATAAAGAAAATCTTTAAAATACAATTACATACTTTTTTTTTTTTAAGATTTTATTTACTTGAGGTGGGGGAAAGTAGAGGGGCAGGGAGAGAGTCCTAAGCAGGCTCTGTCTGAGCACCAAGCCCCAGCACTGGGCTCCATCTCACTACCCTGAGATCATAACCCTGAGATCACGGCCTAAGCCGAAACCAAGAGTCACCCAGGTGCCCCCCATTACTGCTTTTTAAATTCTAGAGGTCTTCTCCCAGCTTCAGTTATAGGTATTGAACATGAACTTCAGCCATATCTATAGTCACAGCTACTTTTTGTGGACTACAGAATAAACAATGGGACGGATGGACATTGTAGGTACCTGGAAGAGAAAAAAACTGTAGATTTTTTATTATTTTCAGAATGCTATGCACAGTGACTCAGTTGTACTCAAAATGCTACTATATTCCCTCTACATATAATTTGCATAATTTATTGGAAGCCATATAATCAGAGGAAAGATAGAATACAGGTTATTTATTTATGTATTACCTTCATCACAATTTTAAAATATCTTGTTTGCTTTTGCAGTGTGGTCAAGTGCACCAGCTGGAATGAAGGAAGCTATGTACTTCTTACACAAGAGGAATCCAGTGAAGACACTTCAAACAGATGATTACTTGTGATTAAAAAAAAAAAACTGAAAGCACATTTCATATACTCTGACTTCTGAGGAATGTAAACTAGTTCCATAATCAATATTTCATGAATAATCAATGCTACATGTCCTTTCTTTTAAACTGAACAGTGAGAGAACTAGCTCCTTGCTCTAGCTGCTTACAGTATCATGCACTTTGAGCACTTTATGAATATCATGTGATAGATTTCCATAGATAGAAGAACAAATCTCAAAACACTCCCCACCTTTGGATTTAGGACAGAAACTGAAACTTCATAGTATAAACAGGGATTAAGAAACTTGACAAAATCAAAAGCAATAATCCCGTAATCCAATAATCCTAACATACTCTAGTCTCACTGCGACTAAGGAAGGAGAACTAACTCTATATCTCAGTTTCTTCATCTGCAAAATGGGTTTCTGACCTCTTGAAGATTTTGAAGGCCTAACTGTTCAAAATTATGATGAATCATTCACTGATAGGAAAATAATGATAGAAGTTTCAAATATTTCTAGTACAATAGTACCTCTGCCGGGATAATGCTTTGTTTTATAGAGCCCATTAGCATGGTATTGACAGTGAAACTTTTAATAGATGCAAAAACCTGAAAATGGAATCACTTTAAATGATATATATTTTTACTTTTCCTAATATAATTAGGTAAAAAAGGGGTGATTGGAAAAAAATACCATAAAAAATTGTTTATAAAGAAATGTAAAAACTGAGTAAGCAGCCAATCAGGAAGTAGTATTATAGAGCCAATATTCATTCCTTATTTTTATCAAGGGATAGCCATTTCTTACTGCCTTAAACTCATCCTGAGACCCACCCTGGTCCCTGAAAACACACTCTTTCATGCCTCCTGTCTTTCTATACACTGTTTCATTTGCTCTTCTTCCCTCGGGACAATGAAACTTCAGAGTCTCAGCCAAAACACTGCTTCCTCTGCATAGTCTTGACATTTCTTCCCTACTCCTATACTTCCCCCCCCAATCCCTGCAGGGTGCCCATAGCACTTTCTTTATACTTCCATCCTAGCATTTTCCATTGTTTCATCATGTTTGTTTTCCCTACTTGACAATGAGCACCTTGAGGACAGGGACAATCTTTGATTCCTCATTTTACCCTCAATAAACGTTTGTTGAACTAAATACAAAATTTTGTTTTTACTTGTAAAAAGAATTTAAATCTACATATTTAATGCATTCTGAGAGTAACCACTGATATCGATGCCACAGCCATTAAGCCAGCCTTGAAAAATATGCTAGCCTGTACACTTTTTAAATTGGTTTACAGCATTTTTACTGGTCCTTCAATATCTTTGATTTTCTAAGTTACCCTATGTAATAACACAAATGCCTTGAAGTACAACTAGATGATTCTTCGTAATCTCTTGAACGCAGATAGAGTTTTCCATTTAACAGGACTGCTTATAACTTTTTTCTGTAGGGTAATCAATGATTGCTGGACTGGCCAAGAGCACTCAATGTAAAATATTGCAAATTTTTATTTCCAAGACTATTCCTTTTAAGTCTATCTTATGTCTTCTGGGCTGGAAGCCCATGTAAGAACTGAGTGATTTCCATATTTATTTATTTTTCTTCCTGCTCAATGCTCTTTCCACACCAAAAAATATGGTTTACAAAGTGTTCCTCTATATCAACTTATTGTATATTCTCTTAATAACTCTGACAAAGTAGATATTCATTTTCCTCATTTTACAAAGTTAAGTCTCAGAGAGACCTGACCATGGTTATTCAACTATCACTAAGCAGTAGCATCACACAGAGATGGTCTTGGCACTGCTGAGATTCTTCATAGCTAAGGTGTACATGTTACAGATTATAAATCTGACAACAATAATTGTGGAAGGTGACGTGCACCCCAACAAAACACATTAGCACTACTGTACCCAACTAAACTGCCTACAATATTGCCTTTTTTTATGGTTAGACATGATGGTCTATAAAGTCCCTTTCAGCTCAGCCTTCCACGATTTTACACTCTTCATCTAAACTGAAGAGAGTACAGATGGTATTATTTCATACAGTTAAGAGATACATAGATGGTTTCGTATTTGAGCAAAAACTGTTTGAGCTGCAGTATATCAGGGCACTGGATTGAGATGGCCCAGAGTAAAAATAGAGCATGAAGAAGTTTAGCCATCTCCAAAATATATCCTAAGATACGATTAGTAAATATGATGAAGACTAGAGAAACATGTAAGCTGATTGGGGTATAGAGTCAAGACAAAAATGAAAAAGAAAAAAATGCTGCCACCTAATCTCCCATAACGTGACCTAATTATCTGAAGGAAGAATTAATGAAATGATTTGTCTCTGTGGAGTCCATTAGAAGGGAACAAAGAGGAAAGTCATGTTCCTTTTTATCCAGCACTGTACAAGGGGGGTTAGATATACCATATCTAATAGAAATGAATACTCCTATCACTACAGAGGGGGTATTCCTATGAGGCTAGACTATTCAACAGGATTATTTATACCCTGCATTGCACAGCCTCAAGAAATCCCTTTTCTCTTAAGGAATCAATCCCATTTACAATTGCACCAAAAACCATAAGATAACTAGGAATAAACCTAACCAAAGAGCTAAGGGATCTGTACTCTAAAAACTACGGAACAGTTATGAAAGAAATTGAGGAAGACACAGAGAAATGGAAAAACATTCCATGCTCATGGATTGAAAGAAGAAATATTGTTAAAATGTCTATGCTACCTAGAGCAATCTATACATTCAATGCAATACCTATCAAAATACCATAGACATTTTTCACAGAGCTGGAACAAATAATCCTAAAATTTATATGGAACCAGGAAAAACCCCGAATAGCCAGAGGAATGTTGAAAAAGAAAACCAAAGCTGGTGGCACCACAATTCCAGACTTCAAGCTCTATTACAAAGCTGTAATCATCAAGACAGTATGGTACTGGCAAAAACAGACACACAGATCAGTGGAACAGAGTAGAAAACCCAGAAATGGACCCTCAACTCTATGGTCAAATAATCTTTGACAAAGCAGGAAAGAATATCCAATGGAAAAAAAGACAGTCTCTTCAACAAATGGTGCTGGGAAAATTGGACAGCCACATGCAAAAGAATGAAACTGGACCATTCTCTCACACTATACACAAAGATAAACGCAAAATGGGTGGGGAAAAAAAAAACAACCTAAATGTGAGACAGGAATCCATCAAAATCCTAGAGGAGAACACAGGCAGCAACCCCTGTGACCTTGGCTGCATGAACTTACTAGACACATCTCCAAAGACAACGGAAACAAAAGCAAAAATGAACTATTGGGACTTCATCAAGATAAAAAGTTTTTGCACAGCAAAGGAAATAGTCAATAAAACTAAAAGGCAACCTACAAAATGGGAGAAGATATTTGCAAATGACATATCAGATAAAGGGCTAGTATCCAAGATCTATAAAGAACTTATAAACTCAACACCCAAAAAACAAATAATCCAGTCAAGAAATGGGCAGAAGACATGAACAGATATTTCCCCAAAGAGCACATACAAATGGCCAACAGACACATGAAAAAATGCTCAACATCATTAGCCATCAGGGAAATTCAAATCAAAACCACACTGAGATACCACCTCACACCAATCAGAATGGCTAAAATTAACAAGTCAGGAAACAAATGTTGGTGGGGATGCAGAGAAAGGGGAACCCTTTTACACTGTTGGTGGGAATGCAAGCTGGTACAGCCACTCTGGAAAATGATATGGAGGTTCCTCAAAAAGTTGAAAATAGAGCTACCCTACAACCCAGCAATTGCACTACTGGGTATTTACCCCAAAGATACAAACATAGTGATCCGAAGGGGTACGTGCACCCCGATGTTTATAGCAGCAAAGTCCACAATAGCCCAGCTATGGAAAGAGCCCAGATGTCCATTAACAAATGGATAAAGAAGATATGGCATATATAGATATATAAAATATATACGTGTATATGCATATAAAATGTATATATATAAAAAGTATATGTATACGTGTATATACATATAAAATGAAATATTACTCAGCCATCAAAAAAATGAAATCTTGCCATTTACATTAACATGGATGGAACTGGAGAGTATTAAGCTGAGCAAAATAAGTCAATCAGAGAAAGACAACTATCATATAGTTTCACTCATATGTGGAATATAAGAAATAGTGCATAGGGGAAGGGAGGGAAAACTGAATGGGAAGAAATCAGAGAGGGAGACAAACCATGAGAGACTCTTAACTATAGGAAACAAACTGAGGGTTCCTGGAGGGGTGGCGGGTGGGGGATGGGGTAACTGGGTAATGTGCATTAAGGAGGGCAAGTGATGTGATAAGCAATGGGTGTTATATGCAACTGATGACTTACTAAACTCTACATCTGAAACTAATGACGTACCATATATTGGCTAATTGAATTTAAATTTAATCCTCTGATTATTCAACGTCCCCAAATCCTGCTGATGAGAATAGGGTATCCTAGGTTCAGTTCTCTTTTAATGAAATGCCTGCATATCAGAACCACCCAAACATTTTTTTTTTTTTAATCCCTGGAAATTCTCAACCAGTCAGTCTGGAGTGGGGTCTTAGAATCTATTTTTAAAACTTTCCAGGTATCTGATACACATCCAGATCTGGAAACTACTGGCTTCCAGTAGTTCCAAAAGCACTACTGACTGCTTCTCAGCCCTATTCTAAATGCACATTAGAATAACCAATGGGGGATGGGCAGTAAAATAAATACAAATAACAAGCCTTTTCATGGGCCAGTGGTTTTCGGTCTTGGCTGCCACGGAGAATCACCTAGGGAGCTTTAAATACTGCCAATGCCCAGGTCCCAGTCCAGGACAACTAACCTGGAATTTCTAGGAGGGGAGGGAAGACATCAGTATTTTTTCAAATGTTATCCAGGTGATTTTAAGATGTGGTCAGGGTTGAGAATGACAACTCTGGATGAGGGGTCAGCACACTTTTCCTGTAAATGGCCAGAGAATAA